AGAGGTACGCGGTTCAAATCCACCAGATGCTCTGCTGGAGAAGGAGGGGCAATCTCCTCCTGTACCAGTCAGATCTGATTTGACGGTACACATAAAAATAATACAATTTTTAAAAATTCAAAAAGAAAAAAGAAGGGAATTTAAATATAATTCAGGAGCGAAGCAAGGAGCAAATCCAGAGTGAGTATAATATATAATAGAGCTAACAGGGAGCAGAGAAGCTGGTTAAAGATGGAGCTAGAAATGGACCAATTCTGTGTTCATTTTGAGGGAATAGTTGTCAACGATTTGGACGTAAAGCGATAACTGAGGAATGAGAGAACTCAATGTTATGTGTGTTGACTGACTGTCAAACCAAGAACGTGTGTGGTCATCCGTGTGGGAGAATATCAAGAACGGGGAGGCCCGGGGGCAGCATTTTCAGGTGATGGGGGCTTCTCGGAGTCTCCGTCACTCCTTTGTGAATCATTCAGACAATCTTTCCGAATCGGGAAAGGCCTGTGGTGCTGGGACAGGATTTTGTTAGATTTAATGTCTCTTCTCTTAAGAGGAGGTGGCGGGAGTGGATTTTGTTAGATTTCATTTCTCTGAGCACAGTCTTAAGAGGAAGGTTGATCAAAACAAAACCAAAAAAAAAGACAGTGGAAAGTGGTAAGTCTGTAATAGAGGTTAATGTAAGTGAACAAAGACGGAGAAAAGAAGGAATCAGGGAAGAAGATTGGTCCCTGAAGAGTCAGGGAAGGCACTTTAAAAGACAGTATGCCTAAGCATGACCAAACTCAAGTAAAGAAAAGGAGAACAAAGGCCTTTCAGGCTATGAGACCCTCGTATATAATTATTGAGGGTGCAAATGTATACTCAAAAGAGACTGCTTCTGTTCTCTCAGAAAACATGCAAAGCTTTAAAAACTACCTAAGATAAGCGTTCTGAGTAGAGAGTCATTTGCTCACTCTTGCTCCCTGCCGGATACTCAGCCTCTAAAAAAAGAGTCCCTGACACACTGTAAGACATTTTTCACGTCCCTGGAATTAATGAAGGGACTTGGGCATTGAAATCTGTAGAGAGAGAGGGCGCTTCCAAACCTTCTTGGGTTGGGAGGAAGGAAGACGTTGAGGGAGAAGAGGAAAGAGTGTTAAGAGTCGAGGCGGGAAAGGGGTTTGGAGGTGCAGTGCAATGACTGGAAGATGCTTTGCCCCCCTCCGAAGGAAGGTGAGGTGAGACCCGACCGGCCTCCCACAGATTTGTGGCTTCTCTCCTGTCAGGTTACTTGAAGAGATGGTGGGTCTGGTGGGCCGCCCCGTCTCTCCCATCTCTTGTTTCCTGTTTTGCCATCTCTGTCCGGTCATGCTGCTGGCCCTGTCTGTGGTGACCATAATTTACATGAGTTCTGAGGACTTCACCTACATAGCCTGGGACTCCAGCACCGTGAGTCTCCCCTCTCCTGCGGCCCCAGAGACCAGACCTTTGAATGGGAGACCAGATCTCTCAGTCCACTCGTGGCCTGAAGACCACCCCCATCATCTCCCTCTCTGGACCTCTACCCTCACCCTTCCTCTGCACCAGGGCACTTGAGGAGAAGGGTCTTTCTTCTTCTTGTCCTGGGAGCTTGAACGTTCTGAACCTGCCTTCTCCTCTCTCCACAGTCAAAAGAAGTGGTTCGGAAATACCCACAGTGGGCGGTCAAATTGGTCATCAGCTTAACTATCTTTGTCTTCCTGCCTCACGTCATCTACTTTATAAACAACCTCCTCTCCAAGATCTCTGCCAACTACGTCAGCATCGAGAATGCCACCAGAGTCTCCAAACCTCTAGTTCTAAGGAGCCGTTCACCAGAAGGCTTGAAAAAGAGTCTCCCGAAGGAGGAAATCGTGCCATTTAAAAGAAAGTCCTGATCACCCTGTGACGTGATTGCCTAGCCGGTGGGAAGGAATGACTTCCTTCCTTTGGCTTTTGGACATCGCTCCCACCTTGCTCAGAGCCGACCTAAACAGGTTGAGATCTTAAACATCGACTTGAAACTTTTCATCGCTCTCGTCCCAGAACCCCTTTATTCACAGAGCTGTGAACATCCTGGGGTGGAGGTGCTCACGGAGCCTGAGTTTGCTGCCTTCTGATAAATCCCAGTTTCCCCAGCCACCTCTGTAATTGTACTTAGCTCATCTCTTTCCCCTATAATGCACACATGCACGGCTTAAAAAACGCTGTTGGTTGTAGCTTCCAACCCGGTTCTGGTCTGTCTGTCTTCCTCTCTGTCTGTCTCACTAGAGGAATTCCCTTGTTGATCAATAAATTATATTCCACTGGGACCCTAAGCACTGGATGTGTAAAGGGTCTTTTTTTTCTCTCCTAAGTGTTTCAGATGTCTAGTCTTTCTCTCACCAGCCTTCCGTTCTCTTAAGATCCATACATCCCCCCATCCACAAACAAATGGATAGAGAAGCTGTGGTATATCCACACAATGGAATACTATGCTGCACTGAAAAACAAGGAACTCATGCAATATTATTCAAAATGGGTGACCCTGGAGGACATTATGCTGAGTGAAGTATCTCAGTCACAAAGGGACAAAT